GTCTCCTTGCCCCTATTCCTTCCAGCCCCGTATTTTTAGTTCTTTGTTGGACATCTCAGCTAGACATCTTGAGTGTGTATTACTTGCACTACAAATTCATCATATTCACAAAATGCTTCCCCAGACTAGATGTTCCTCCCAATCGCCTGGTTTTCAGAGTACTCTGTTCCTTGTTCCCTGAGCTCAGAAACTCAGTTATTATTGGCTTCTTCCTCACATCTCATTAGTTGAGTCCTACACAGTTTCATATCCAGTTACTTCTAGTGTGTCATCCTTCTCCTTGCCCAGTTCAGGTCCCCCATTGCCTCTCGTCTAGATTATTCAAATAATTGTCTCTTATTCCTCCTATCCATTGTACTCCTTGCTACCAAATTTATTCTATGAGTGGCTTTGCCCCAGTAATGTCCCACTCCTCCTCCTCCTAAAAAACACTCTTCAGTAAATTCTGTTTGTGAAATTCTCAGGCCGACCTTCTAGGCCCTCCCTCTTATACATTGTGTGTGTGTGTGTGTGTGCGCGCGCGCGTGCAGTGTATTTTATCAGGCTGTACTCGGGTCAGCTCCTTCAAGTACTTACTGTGTTGGGTCATTGTTGAATAAGTGAATTCCCCAATTAAAACCAATCCAGGACTTTCCCAGATGATTTTACCTCTTCCTTTTAGAGCTGCTCCCTCCACCTGGAATGGTTTTTCCATCTTCCTCCCTCTTTGGAAAAATCCTTCCATTCTCTAAAACCCATCTCCAATACCATGTCTCTCATGAAACATAAGCTTTATTTTTGGTTTTTGAACCACCACAGAACTTCATCCTTCCCATCTTGCACCTGGTATTGTAATCACTTCTGCACTTTTCTCATCATGCTTCCTAGATTACAAGCCACTTATGGGCAAGGCAAGTGTCTTACCTGATACTGTATCTCAGCATGACATCTAAATCAGAATATGTGGATAAGGAGTATTGATGCATTTAATTAGGTAGAAAAAGAAAAGGTTTTCAAGCCTGGGCCTCCCTAATTTCTAGGAAGGTTGGCTTTTATTACACATTCCAGTACTCTTTGCTAGTTACACATCAAAGAGTTTGTTGAAATCTGATGATAAGTATGTACTAGAGCTTTCTTTCTTCCAGTTTTGAGTGTCTTATATAAATAGTAAACACGGGGCTACATTATATCCTTAATGCAATTAGACTCTTGAAATTCTTAATAAGGGAGTTCCAGGAACATAGTAGGTGCTCACAGAGTGGTTGTGGTTGAGTTGAATAATGTCATATTGAAAACCTCAAGAGAAATGGTGTGCCTGATTTCTTAACTATTTTAAATTCTCAAGACTCTTTAAAAACCATTTAGTTATTCTAGAGGGGAGAGAAGGGATGTCTTTTCAAGGAGATTATCATTAAGAATGTATAACACCATCTCTAAACTTGGAATAATCTTCCTTTTTCTTTCTTTAAGATTTAGTCGTCATGATCTCTTAATTGCTAAATCAGTTAGCCTTTGTCTCCATTGTCATCCCTCAGAATCTCAGCCTTTCTCTACAAGCATTACTGCCTTCCCCTCCTTGCCTGAACGGATGCCTGGCTCTCTCCCGAGCGGACCCCTTCACCTGCAGCCCTCCAAAGGGTGCCCTTTCATTCACTTCACATCAGCAGTCGAAGCCAGTGGCAGGGCTGATAAAGGCTGTGGTTGATTCCCACCCCCACCTCCTGTTCCTTTCCAGTCTCTTCCGGAACTGGACTCCTTCTACCTTCTTGTGAAAACCCAACCCCTTTCAGGCCTGTGCCGTGGGTCTCTACCCCCTCCTCAGCCTTGCTGGGAGATTTCCCAATTAATTAAAAACTTGACACTTGGTCCACTCAGAGCCTGCCATCATCCTGGGTGTCACTGCTGTTCACAAGGTCAGGCCCCCAGTAACGTCGTCTCAGGGCTTGGGCCACATCACCTCTAGTGAACCTCTGCCTGTCTCGACTTCAGTTACCTACTTACAGACCCCAAAGAAGACCTTGTCATCAGCCCTCACTGTCACCTCCAGGATCCACGCGTGCCATCCAGTACAGCCTTCTCTGCCTCTACGCAGAGAAATCTGGAATTGCAGATCCGTTCCCAGCTTTCTAACCGCCTCTCAAGCCCTGGCTACTAGCTTCCCCTTAGCTTGCTGCACTAGCCCCCTGACTAGTTTTCCCTCTTCCATTCTGCCACCTACAATCCATGCTTCCCCCAACAACCAGAACAGTCTTTTGAAAACATGAACTGAATCATGGCGCTCACTGCCCCCACACACAAGTCTGCAGTGACTTCCCACTCCACTTGGAATAACAGGCCAGACTCTGCCTCACAGCCTACGAGGCCCTTTTTCACATGGCCCCTGCACCCCTCTCCAGCCTGTCACTCTCCCCTGAGTGCCCCTGGCTTTCTCCCTTGCTGCTTCTTCTAAGACTTGCATTGACCGCCCCCTCCCTTCTCTATGCGTGCAAGACTAGGTCCTGCCTCAGCTCTCAGCTTGCACACCGCCTCGGACCTTGCTGCGCGCCTTCCCGTCTCTTTTATCTGAAACTCTGTGTGTGTGTGTGGGTGGGTGTGTGGGTGTGTGTGTGTGTGTGAGAGAGAGAGAGAGAGAGAGAGAGCGCACATTTACTGCCGTCGGAGGTTACTGATTTATCAGCTTATATATTAGCTCTTTTCCCTTCTGGGATGTAGGCTCTGGAGGATAGGGACTTTGAATATCTTATTCACCTCTGATTCCCCAGCATCTGATAGTACCTGATTCATATTGGGTATTTAATAAATATTTTCTGACTAAGTGAATAGCGTAAGCATCCTACCTCCCTCTGGCCTTCAGTGTACCATACTCCTTCTCATACCATCTTCTTTTCTTGGCCAAGGAAATGAATACCTGTTCTTTATATTGCAGCCCCATTGCCATGAATTTCCCTGTTATCTCACTTTGTCCAATTCCCAGAGTACATGGCCTGTCCATTGTTCATAGCATTGACCATCTGACATATTAATCTTTATATATGTTAGTATCTCACTAATGAATCAGCCCCTCAGCCCACCTGCCACCTGCCCCCAGCCCCCAGAAAGTAACTTTTGGAGAATAAGGAGTAGGTGGGTTTTTTCCTCTCTGTTGTATCCCCAGTCCTTTCTGTTGCATCCCCAAGTGCTTCTCGCACTGGGATAACCCAAGAAATATGTGATTGACCATCTACTCCCCCTTTCCATGTTCTTGTCTCTCCTGATTATCTGCCTCTCTGACTGCTCTTGCTGGAGGTCCCCTACATGTTGTAAGCATTTTCTTAAATTTTGCATCTAGTCTACTCATTATATAATCTGCCCCAGGATTATTCTTTTCTTCTCCTTTAGCTTCAACTATCACTTCTTTGTGGATGAGCACACATCGATCTTTCTGACCTGAACTCTCTACTGAATCACAGTGCTCAACTTCTGGTTGAGATGTTTGGGTTCTCACCTGCCCTCAGGTTGGAGAAAACCGTACCATTTACCTCCCCACGTGTGTCCCCTTCGGTTATGCTTCCCTGTCACCTTCACTAATGTATTGTGGCCTACCTAGCCACCTGGGTTCCGAGCCTGAGAGCCCTGCTCAGCATCTCTCTCTCCCAGGCCACGCATCCAACATTTCTCCAAGTCCGTTGCTTCGACCACGGGAATATGTCTCTTGTCTTCCCAGCTTCCCACCACTTCCCCCTCAGCAGTCCAACATACTCCTTCTCTTCTACAGCCCAATTCTAACCCACTTCTCTGCGTAATTTACAGAGAGAGAGAAAGCCCTCTGCCCTCTGGTCCCGAAATCTGCCACAGCCGCGTCCTTTCTGGGGACACTTGGGACTTTGTTGATGATGTCCCCTCAATAGTGGGCTGAATTTTGATGCATGTGGCTAGCCTGTAGATTTTTGCATTAAGGAACTGTAAACTGTTTTGGTTCTAAAACTTCCCCGATAGGTCCAAGCTCCTGTCCTTTGTCTACCCACAAATGTTTTCCCTTGGTATGTCTTTCATAAACTTCTTCCCATAAACAGAGCACATTCTGAAGCTCAGTGCCAAAGACAATGACATCATCTCCAAAGTGGGCTACTGCCCGTGATGGTTCCCCAAGACAGGCCCTGCTCCCTCCTGCCTACCGCCGACATCTCCTGCCTCCTGAAACCCAACATGCATCCCAACAGCCTCACTTGCTGACTGTTCCCTGACTTCAGTGCCTTAAGAATAGAGGTGTCTGTTGAGGCAGATGCTTTAACTTAAGTTGCGTTTTAGAGCCAAATGCTTTCACAACTGGAGGGTTTTCCCTGGAAATGGCCTGGAGTTGGAGCTGCTGATAGGAACTCACAGGTGGGCCTCTGGGGCAGTCACACAGGATGCTTTTTTAGGTTCTGACTCTATTGGGAATGGGATTACTAGGATTTGTTATTGTCAAGTCTGATGGGACTTAATCCAATTTTTTTTTTCCTTTTTTGGTGGGTCATGTGCCATTTCAGTATCTAGGCCTAGATCCTCTTAACACCTTAAAACTTCATAATTTTAGCTTACAGATTTTCATTAGTAAGTCACTTGATTGCAGTGAAGTGATCTATAGGTTAAAATCTTACCACAGGCTTCTGAATCACCTGAAGTAGAAGGCAATGCAAGTTTGTAGAGTGCCCTGGAGAAGTAGTTACTATGCTGGGCATTGGTGATCTTATTAAATTCTCTAAGAAGCGTAGGTAGCCTTCACTGCATTTTAAAGATCAGAATCAAGTAAGGTTCAGAGAGGTTATGTAACTACTGATGTCACACAGCAGCTAGCAAAGAGTTGATGCGGTATTTGATCGTAGATTTAGCTCTGTGCCTCTGAAAGTTATGTTCTTTCCACCATATTCAGTAAATTTGACTTGTTTGCAGATCATACGTAGCACTGAAAATGTTTTATTTCTCGTCTCATTACAGTGATCAGTTAAGTAACATTTTTTGCATTCTCCCTTTCCTATCTTTTCTCCTCGCCACTGCCTTAGAGCATACTCCTTCCACGTTACTGCGGACGGTCAGATGCAGCCTGTCCCCTTCCCCCCGGACGCCCTCATTGGCCCCGGCATCCCCCGCCACGCTCGCCAGATCAACACCCTGAACCACGGGGAGGTGGTGTGTGCGGTGACCATCAGCAACCCCACGCGACACGTGTACACGGGCGGCAAGGGCTGCGTCAAGGTCTGGGACATCAGCCACCCCGGCAACAAGAGCCCCGTCTCTCAGCTCGACTGTCTGGTGAGTGAACGTGGATGAACGTGGTTTAAGCCCTCATGCAGAAAATAGGACCTGGATGTATCAGCAACACACAGAATTGATCCCAAGCGGGTAGTTGTCTTCAGTGGTTTGTGCTGTTTGACTTGGAGCGCTGACGAGAAGGTGTGTCTTCTTTCAGTTACTTAAGGTAGATTTATCCGGTTCTTCACGTGTGGCACTTGCTCCAGTGCAGTTTTCATTCACCCTGCCCAGTGCATGGGAACAGGCAGACCACTTGCTTTCCTATCTGATAAAGGAGTTTAAGAAAACTACGAGCCCACGATGGTTTCTGTGAGAGTGCACCCAAGTATCAGAATCTGTCACACTGTGAGACAAGAGTAACTTAATACTTCACGTGGCAAACGCTAGCTCCCCCGTTAGCTGTCTCATGGGTATTCGTCCTTGGGTTATTTAGGAAATTTCAGTTTGATTTTCATCCTCGGACCAGCAGTAGCATGTTTCGCGGCAGCACGATGCTAGGTCAGTTTAAGGTGACTGCACAAGATTCCCATAACCTCACGAGCTGGGAGGACGTGGTGTTTTCTGTCACGTAACACGCCTTGGTCAAGCCTTGCCTCCAGTTGGTGCTGCTTAATCGAGCCCATGCTGTCCCTTGGCCAGGTAACACAGGGCCAGGCGAACGGAAGGGACCACAAGGTCTCTAGCTCCCTGGCACTTGTTTGGCAGCAGAAAGAGGGCCTTTCAGCAGCCAGGCCGTGTGTACCCAGTTCCCGGTGTGGCTCCTCCGGGGTTGTGAGCGCTGCTGCGTCTGCATGTGCGAATGACTCAGGCGGCTGGTTGATTTGCTGGTGCCGAGAGTGGGTCTAGATCTTTGCATTTTCATGCTAATTAAGATTAAATATCTCAGTACTGAATTTTGTAGATCAAGTTTAAGTACTTCCTTAATTTCATGTAATTTACTAGCATTAATCCACTTTATCATTGTCATAAGTGAAAATAGCTCATTGAAACCAGGAGGGAACACAATACTTTTATGGATTTTTGCTCTCATGTTAATGCTGTTTTCCTTTCCTCATGAATAACCTCTTGATGGGTTTTGTCTCTACAGAACAGGGATAACTACATCCGTTCCTGCCGATTGCTCCCTGATGGTCGCACCCTAATTGTGGGAGGGGAAGCCAGTACCCTGTCCATTTGGGACCTGGCGGCTCCCACCCCGCGCATCAAGGCAGAGCTGACGTCCTCGGCCCCCGCCTGCTACGCCTTGGCCATCAGCCCCGACTCCAAGGTCTGCTTCTCATGCTGCAGCGACGGCAACATCGCCGTGTGGGACCTGCACAACCAGACGCTGGTGAGGTGGGTCAGCAGGGTCCCTGACCAGGGCACTGGATTTACCTGTGCTGTGCCAGAGAGCTGTGTGTGTGTTTTTTTAAAAAGATGAAACATAACTGTCTTACTAAAAATTGTTAAGAATAGGGCCGTTTTAAGATGCTGTAAAATCTTGTTTTCTGCACCATTTGAACTTTATCGGATGAGGGGTTGTTTTCTTTCTTTTTTTTTTTTTTTAATTATACTAAGCATCACCAATTCAGGTTTTAAAATAGGAGGTCGCTTTTATTTATTTTTCTTTTTTATAAATTTATTTATGTATTTGTTTATCTTTGGCCGTGTTGGGTCTTTGTTGCAGTGCTCGGGCTTCTCATTGCGGTGACTTCTCTTGTTGCGGAGCACGGGCTCTAGGCATGCAGGCTTCAGTAGTTGTGGCACACAGGCTCAGTAGTTGTGGCTCATGGGCTCTAGAGCGCAAGCTCAGTAGTTGTGGCACACGGGCTTTGTGGCACTGCGGCATGTGAGATCTTCCCAGACCAGGGCTCGAACCCGTGTCCCCTGCATTGGCAGGCGGATTCTTAACCATTGCACTACGAGGGAAGTCCCAGGAGGTCAGTTTTACATAATTAATGCACATAAGGTGCCCGTGACCTCATGAGCTCGTTAGACTTACGTAGTTTGCCACCTGTGCTAACAAACCATCGTTGTCAGTAGGCACTCACTGAGAAGGTTCACAGTGCGTGGCGCAGTCCTTGGTGCTGTGTGTATCTGACACGTTCTTTCCTTCGACAAATGATCATTGAGCTCTTACCCTGGGCCCAGGCATTGTGTTGGGTGTGCCTCACCCTGAAATGATCTAGATAATCTGTTGCCCCACCTTACAGGATGGATAGACATAACTGTTTGTTTAGAAATGAGGTTGTGTAGGATCGGCACTGATAGGAAAAGCCCTGAAACACGTGTGTCTCCAGACGTCAGCACCTGAGAGAGCAGGAAGCCAGAGGTGTGATCCGCTAACGGGTGTGCAGAGGGTGTAGTGGATCCCAGCTACAGGTCCAGGGGAGGGTGGGAGGAGAAGAGGCCCCTGCTGTCTGTCTGTAATGTATTTTGCAGGACGGAGCTCTATAAATGATTCCAAAAACAAAACAGTTAATCACTTTTTCGCCTTTTGAGTAAGGCTCTTATGAGGAACTGCTTCGAGGCCCCAGCCCCCGTGTCTTTCGTACACTTTACCTGCTCCTGGGGCAGCTGAGTCACACTGAGGTGCTTTCCACGCTCCTTCCTTGAGAGCACGGCCTCTCATCCTGCACAGCCTCCTACAGTTGCGTTGTTGCTCGCTGGCAGGATTTGTTCTGCTGCTCACTGTGCCCATCCCCAGAGCTTTTAGCAGGGAAACGACTCCTCGCACCCTCTGAAATTCTCGCCTTCTTTCACATCACACCGACAGAATAGGTCTCAGGTTGTATCTTGGATTAGTTCATTTTCACGTGGCTGTGTTTTCTTTTGATTCAGGTGGAGAATTCCTTCCATCAGTTGTTTCAGTTGTTTTTAGCATAAGAGTAATTTGAAGAGGACTTCGTAAGTGTTCAGAAATAAACAAAACGTGCAGGAGATTCAGCATCTCAATTAAACTTTAATCTCTCTACGTATATGCTTTGTTATTACTTTGAATAATAGAAAATATAATAAAAACCAAAAGGAAATCTACGCATAGGGCCTGTAATGAAATTGATGGCTGAGGAATTCTAAACTGAGTTCACCTAAAAATTAACTGTTGAAGGACTTTTCTCCACGTTGGCATCTTCAGGCAATTCCAGGGCCACACAGACGGGGCCAGCTGTATTGACATTTCTAACGACGGCACCAAGCTCTGGACGGGCGGCTTGGACAACACGGTCCGGTCCTGGGACCTGCGCGAAGGGCGGCAGCTGCAGCAGCACGACTTCACCTCCCAGGTATGCACTCGCGCACGTGACATTTTAGAGACCTGGTTTTGTGAAATATATGAGAGACTTCAGCGGCAATTCATTGACCACATGACAGAGTCACTTTTACTCTGAATTAGATAACTAAAAATTTTGTTGTTTTCTGTCAAAATACAACAGTATATATTTTATTGAAGGACAGAAAAAAATTTCATTTATTACAGGCTTTTAGCAGGTTTTTATTTCAATGACCATTACTCTATAGATCTTTGAATTTCACACAATTGATTAGTAAGTTAGATTGTGGAGATCTGACTCATTACTTGGGATCACACCTTTGGCTTTGATTTCTTCCTGTACAATTCACATTATCTTGATTTCCTTCATTATTTAAGTAGTATCCCCAGAGGAAGCAGTGCCTCCCCTTTAAAGGAAGTGTGTCCTCTATAGCCACCATCACCGTCACCTGTTTTAATTCTAGATCTTTTCTCTGGGCTACTGCCCAACTGGAGAGTGGCTGGCGGTGGGGATGGAGAACAGCAACGTGGAGGTGCTGCACGTCACCAAGCCCGACAAGTACCAGCTCCATCTCCATGAGAGCTGCGTCCTGTCACTCAAGTTCGCCCATTGTGGTAAGCAGGCCCCTGGCGTCCACTGCCTGTCATTCCTCCTTCCTCCTGATTCATTTCAAGTCCGGTCTTTAGTTCATTGACGTGTCCCTCTTCAGAATTATATTACTTCCTCACGCATGCCTACTTCCCAAATACCATGTAATTTTCTGCAGTTTATCCACTTTATCCTTGTTCTGAGTATAAATGACTCATTAAATCTAGGAGAGTGGGCTTTATTTTTCCAACGAAAAGAAACTCTTATTTGTTGCAGATCAGATTAGGTGAGTTTTCTGTGTATCATTTGACGCTCTGTAACACAAGTCTCGGGACTCTGACAAAGGAATAAACACTACCTTTTTTGAAACCCTGTTCCTATAGGCAAATGGTTTGTAAGCACGGGAAAGGACAACCTTCTGAATGCCTGGAGAACACCTTACGGGGCCAGTATATTCCAGGTAACACTTCACTTGTGTAGCCTTCACCCACTGTGCGCTCACTGCATGGTTCTCTGTGCCTTCTCGCAGGTTAATGACGCACGGACGTGTCCTAGGAGGTAGGAGCTAGTGTCACTCCCATCGCACAGAGGGGAAAACTGTGCCTGAGGGGGAGACTAGGGTCACAGCTGCAAGCTGTGCAGACAGGAGTTGTGTCCAGTTCTCTTTGAGCTCAGAGCCAAGGTGCCGTGCCCATGGCCCTAACTAGCTCTTCACACCCCATCCCTTTTTACATGTTAGAGTAGCAGTTTCATGTCTTCTGTGAAATTTATTTATTTATTTAATTTTAATTATGGCTTTTAAAATTTTTGTTTAAAATTTGAGCATTTTGCTTGAATATTCATTCGTGTTGTTATTCCTGATTTCCCGCCCCCAAAAGAGTGCTGTGGAAAAGTGTAATAAATCTTGATTAATTTTATGAACTTTTATTCTTATTAACTCAGTGGTACTTTGTGTAGTTTGTGGAATTATTGCAGGAGAACCAGATTGTAGGCATGATACACACTCACATACAGATCTCTCTTCTCTCCTGCTAGTAGGTGAGAATTTCATAGGCAAGTTAAAGAAGGTTTCCTTTTTAACCTTCTGTATTTAGGATGTTATTTTCTAGGTGGTGGTCTGTTTTTAGGAATAACATAACAGCGTTGCAGTTTTCTTGACCATGTGGTACTAAGTCGTAGAGGAGATTAATTCATTTGAATCTAAAACTGCATATATTGAGTGAAAGTACTGTGCAAGATCATAGGACAAAAATAGCAGATTCTCACTGTCGTGAAGTTTATAATGTAATACAGTGGTTTTTGTATTGTCGATCACAACCTTTTAGATGGTCCCAACCAGCACTTTTTTAAAAAATGAAATTAAAAATGTTAAGAGTATATTTTTTGTAGTGAGTATAAGTATTATATCTCGTTTCTCTGGGTTATGAAGTAAAATTATGTCTCGGGTCTCTGGGTTGTGAAGTAAAATGTATTTATTACAGGTTGCGTTCCAGAAGTTTGAGAAACACTGGTAGTAGGTTAGCATCTGCGTGTCAGACGTTCCAAGTCCCAGTTAAAATCCTGTGGGCTTTGTTTGTTTAGCACAGTTTAGTTTAAAGTTAACCGTGACTGCTTTGCAGTGGGTGTAGTTGAACATGGTATTTGGAGCTCTAATAAGAGTGGTAACATTTTTCTTACTAACTATTGAACTCCTCCCTACTTGCACATTTATATTCTATTTTTACATAGGGGACGACGAGGTTTTATGTTGAAATATTTTTACATTCCCTATCTCAAAAACTATAGTATTTTCAATATGGTTCCCCACTATTACCTCACCTGGACTCCGAGGCCACCTTCTGTCGTGGCAGACAGGTAAGCCGTCTTTACCTAATTACCTCTTTTACGGAAGGTGAGGGCCGAGACAGGTTAAGTGACGTGTCTAGCATTCTGCAGCTCCATCTACATCCAAGCCATCCGAGTGAAGGTGAGGGTTTTCACACTGAGAACCCTGTGCTCTTAGCTGGAGACTAGGATTTGAAGTAGAGCCTTCCTTCATCAGCGTCCAGGACTGCCTTTCCTCGCTTGGGCTCCTGTTTTGGTCAAGGGAACATGTTATGCTTCTTTTTGCTCCAGATCCTCCAGGCCTGCCTCTCAGTGTTCATGGGTTTTCTTTCAGTCTTTAACGTGTTCGTGTGTCTCTTCCCAGTCCAAAGAATCCTCATCGGTGCTCAGCTGTGACATTTCTGTGGATGACAAATACATTGTCACTGGCTCTGGGGATAAGAAGGCCACGGTTTATGAAGTTATTTATTAAGGACAAATCTTCATGCGAACTGGACTCCTCCTTGTAGCACTTTGTTCTGTCATCCTTCTGTTCCCCCGCATCCGAAACCAAGGATTTCCAGTACTCATTGCAGTCGTGGAGCTCAGTCCCCGCCTTCCCCCACTTCCTTCCTGCTGTTGAATTGTGAATACTCGTTAAGAACCTGTGATACCAAATCTTCAGCTATCTACTCGGAAGAACATGGATAAACCCTACTTAACAGTGAAAGGAATCTTTAATTATGTATTATATCTGTAATATATTTATTTTGTTTAAAGAAGGCTTTCTAACAATGACTGACTAAATAAAGCTGTCTGCTCCTGCATTGATAATGAAGATGCGTTGTATTTGATACCCCTCCCCCCCTTTTTTTGGCAAAGGAGGGGAAAGGAAGGTCTAAAATAACTGATTAAAAATGTCACTAAATGTAGACTAATGACTGTATAGAGATGTGAAATGTATAATTACATATGGAAGCAATATGTTGCTGTGTTGTTAGATGTTTTTGTTTTTTACTTATTTTAAAGATGTTTGGAAATTTGAATAATTAGAAGGTGACAGACCATGTCATATTCATTTGAGTCTATTTGGACAACTTTAACCAATATATCTATAGCTTTAGATTATATTCGATAAAAGTAATTGGACTTTTTCTTTTTTTCTTTTTTTGACTTGTTGACAAGTGTCTTTGTAATATGTTTTTAATTCCCTTTTTTAAATTGTATTATAGACAGATGAACAAATTAAATTTGGCCTCAAAGTGAGAACTTAATCCCTTCTGGGTATTTTTGCCACATTTCTTTGCAGAGGGAGATGTATACCTTTGGGCAGTTTTGTCAACACGAGAAATGATGGGTTATTTTTTGGCGTGTTCTTTGGGAACTGCACAGATTCAGGGGAGGATTCCTCCCACTGTGCAAGTCAAGTCTTTTACAAGACAAGGAGCAGAGGAGGATTTGCAAGGACCTCCCTCTGAAAATCAGAAAGAATGGACTCTCACCTGGGATGAGAACTTGCTTTCTTTACCTCCGGTTCTTTCCATGTCTTAGCTGGATGTCCCTGAAATGGACACAGGCTGTGCCATTGTGCCAGAAACATTGTTGTTAACTTTTATGTTGTTGTTGTTGCTGTTAAACTATGATATGTGACTCCTTTTTTTTTTATTATTATTTTTTGTTTGAATGCTTTAAAAATCCTTTAAGTCTGTGGATCTGCTGATGTACAGTGCCTTTGCTGCTATGGATCAAAATCAAGAGAACTGTGTAGATAAACTTTATTGTATAAGTAGAAAATTACTTAATTTCATACTAGAAATGGATGGATGCTGCAAGTTGAAATGGATTGTCCATTGACGTTCCTAATGTGGTAGCAGGAAAAAAAAAATGGTGTCTTAAGTGCTTAGTGTTTGATGTCTTTAACAGTTTCGTAAAACTCTACAGTGTAGAAAGATTTTGATACTAAACTGTGCATTGTACATAGTTCTAATGCATTGTATTGACCACCAGTACTTCTATAATGGTAGATTGTTTGTGCATTCAGACTTTTAAGCATTAAACATAAATAACTTCTAGTATGCTTATTTCTAATTCTTTGTTTTGCTGGCTTTAGTTTATTTTCATCTTTGAGTGTGCCACTCGTATATATTAAAGATTACTAGTTTTATTCAAGGGAGATTGCTGTAAAAAGTCATGTGGGCTTTCTGATTGTTGCTGTTTTGGTTCTGTGTTTGTTCCTACTTGAGAAGAGCTAGAAGGGAGGGTGGATGGAGGTTATCGATGACGGCAAGTATTTATTGCGTGCCTCTTTAGTTTGTCAAAAAGTTGTCATGTTACCGAAAGCCGTGATGCTTTAGAGCTGTGCTGTTCAATATAGTTACCACTGGCCATTTGTGGCTGTTTGATTTTAACTTGATTAAAATTTAAAATGCAGCTTATCAGTCATACTAACTACATCTCAAATGTCCAGTTGCCACATACAACTAGTGGCTAGCATGTTGGACTACGTCAATTTATAGAACATTTCCAAGATCCCAGAAAGCTCTGTGGGACCAAGGCTGCTTTAGAGTTAGCCGATGCATACCATTTCCAGCCTTGGGGGTTTGGGAACCGTTTCCAACGTGATACACTGAAGGCTTTGAACGCCTGAGGTCCCTCGGGCTGCTCCTGCTTGGCTTTGTGAAGCTTCAGCGTAAGAAGGTCCTTAAAGAATTCTAAACTTCTGGGACTCAAAAACCTGACATTTTATGCATCCACTGGGTAGAAAGAAGGCTGGGCGTTGGGAGCCCCCACGGTGGTCTGGAGTGTCTCAGTGATCAGCTGTGAGAGGTAGCGAGTCTTTAGGTGCTAAGAGTTCAGCAGTGTTCATCATGGAAGCAGCACTTCACATGTGAGTGCCATGAGTGCTGCTACATCAGATGAATACATTTTTGAAGTGTTAGCTTAATTAATTTCTGTTTATCCTTATTAACATTTCTTATAAAGTAATAAATAGAGAATTGGAGTAAAAGAAGAATCATCTTGACACAAGGAGTCTGACACTTGCCTACTGTGTTGACACTTGTAGAAGAAGAAAGCGCCTACCTCAGGGAGTTAGAACTTTGGTTTGGTGCCTGGTGGGTCAAGTCTGTGATGCCCTTCAGTTTTCTCCTTAGAGAGATCCAAAACACTGGCCGTTGTACTGGATCAAAAATCGAGGTGAACGTGTGAATAAACCTAGCTTTTTAAAATAAATGGGCATCTACTTCCTCTCACTGCTGAGGTTTTATCAGATTAGATTTTTTTATGTCTCTGATATCAATCTCAGGCCTGGATTGCTGTGCACAGCAGTCTTGATGTTGTCGTTTTAATTATAACTTGGTCTGCCATAGTTTTTACTCCCAGTCTGGTCTTGCAGAGTCTGAAGAACGACAAAGACAGAATCACCCTGAACCAGGGAAAACTTAGTTCCAATGAAAGAAGAGAATGGTGCGTAGGACTGGAAGGTTGACTTACGTAGAACTACCAAGAAGTAAAAAGAATCCCTGATTGAAGACCTTCCAAGACCGGCAGGTCAAATGTACAGTGATAGATGCTAACATCTAAAAGTTTTTGCAGGTACACACCTCACTTGTGGGCCACTACTTACTGGCTTCTTGGCCAGTGAGCTGCAGAAGATCAGTCTTACCCTGGAATGGTGTGTGTTGAAGCTTGAACCGCAGCCCTGTAACACCTGCAAGTGGTTGGAGTTCCGCAGCCATGGCATATCCAGAAACTCAGTTTCAGGCCATCTCGTAGCCACGAAATCCTGGGACCCTACAGCCAAGAGCAGGAGAAATTGATGTTGCAATTTCTGGACAGAGGTGCAGTCCCCGAGCAAGACTTTGATCAGCTAGACCGTCAGTGATGCTCTCAGCTGCGCCATATGGCCAGTTTTTGTATCCTCAGTTGGACATTCTTGCACTGGCATCATATAACTAAAGGGATTTGTCAACTTATATTTTTGGCAGTTGTAAGGAGATTTGTACTGGAATTCCTTGCCCAGCATTAAGTAAACAGTTACAAAATTCTAGAGATGTGGGTACCAAAAGAAATTCTTTCGACATTCTTGGATATACATGTCTGGAGCTACCAGCTCCTGGGCAACCTGTAGGGTGGCATCAGCAACGAGCTCTGGGTCCTGCCACCCCTCAGTTTCCCGCTGGGGCATCAGCAGCAGAAGCAGTGACTCACCACCATCCCTGTTTTTTGTTTTTTTGGGTTTTTTTGTTCTTTTGTTTTTTGTTTGTTTTGTTTTGTTTTTGCTTTTAACTAATTGCACTTATTTGCCTTTCAGTTCAAGCTTCCATTCAGAACTGACAATGGAAATACTGTATTTTTGACAACCCAAGCACGTCAGAAAACCTCTCGTGTTGGAACATTTTAACACCAATGCTGTTCTAGTGGTAGGAACTTAACTTTCGTTACAAGCTGCTGTTAACATTTTATTTTAGTTCTTTTAGTTTTAGTTCAGGTTTTTGGCAGCAAGTGGCAGAATTTTTTGGTCCCAGATAGGAACTAGCAGCGGAGCTGGGCTCTAGTTTACCTCTCCCCAGGGAAGGAAATCCTCAGCTGAGATCTTAGGTATTTGGCCTACAGGGAAGGAGAATTCCCACAGGGCTGCCTTTAGTCCAGAGGAAAACCATGAGCACAGTGCTTTCACAGAAGTTGTTCTGTCTGATCTCACAGCAGGCCTAGACAGGCTGGATGCCAGAATACTGAATTTACGCTATAGGGCACAAAGCATCAGAGGAGAACAATGATTTTCCCAAACTCTCTTATCTCCCAGGGAAGACAAGTCAGCCTAAACCCCAAGGCTCTGGACTTGCAGTTGAAATTCTGTGCCCACCGTGGCAGATTAGAGGGAAATTGGGAAGGGAGCATTCCAGGTGCTTATAACTTGCTGCTCTTCACCCCTTAGTTTCACATGAATTAACTGGCTCTGGAGACTTTGACATCACAGCATCGCTTGAAAACTCCTTGAATCAGTCACAGGTAGTCTTTTGAGTTCTTGCAATGTGTGTACTCACTGTGTCCATGATGGGCTCGTAGAATTCCCCACGCCTGACCCTGGCATCTCACTGCTCAGGCGGGGAGCCTCCCCCGTTAACCTGACACTGTAGCTTGATGAAAATATTTGGAACTAATAAGTTTTCTGTTATTTTGGCAGAAGACTTAAACTCACATAAACGTCGTGCTTTATTTGACTCGCGTGCAGCAAATAAACGTACACACACTAAAAGGTACATGTGAGGTGTCTGGGTTTTGAGGATTTAGGCAGTAAATGTTTGGACTCTTCAGGTGGAGTCCAAACTAATGTCCAAATGGTTTCTAGTGGCCCAGCATTTCTCCCCAGACTTAGGTAGTAGTTGGCCATTTCTCAGTCTTTACTAGATGCCTCCACAGCCTCTTCTAAAAGAAGCTACCATAGGTGGTACCCTGGCCATGTCTTGTGTCACGTGGCAGAAAGAATGAGCTGAGTTCGCTATTTTTCTTCTTCCAGGAGGCTGGGAAGTAGCAGGAGAATGAGTTAGTGGTGGGAATTAAGTCAAAGGAAACCGTCAGGGCGAGCATGTGCCCTTCCACCTGTGGACAGCAGCACATGGACAGGAAGCGACCCCATCAGGAACCACCAGGAGGGATGGCGTGAGACCCCCCGACCACCATGCATCGAGCAGAGCAGAGTCTTCCTTAGGACAACTACCCATTATTTGAAGAACTTCCGTCAGATGCCTCTGTGCCCCCAAAGAGTTCAGCTGAAACAAATACTACTCGCCTCAACCTTTACTGGGTCAAGTCTTAGCGTCATGCATCCAACTCGGAGAAGCTTGGTGCTGCTGAAAACAAAGCACCCTCCCCCCGCCAAAGTCTGTTCATCTTTCCCAGATGAATGTATTAGTTGAAGCAGTCGTCCGTTAGGCTTTGTTCTTCAATCTCCTGCAGCTACTCATAGCCCCTTTAATTTTTCTCCCAAGTAGACAATCAGTGTTAAAGAAATGTGATTTCAGGTTTTGTGGCTGGGTTGGGAAGTTAGGGTTTCCAGGCTGACGGTCAGTCAACCCCACTGCGTGCACATCTTCAGGCCTCAAAGTTTTCGAGAGAAAAAGAACAGCCTCCTGGGCGCAAGGTGGTGGTTGTGAAGGTTACTCTGAGGACAAAGGCCTTGATTCACAGACCCCTGTTCCTGAGTGACAGTCTTAAAGCATAAAGTGCCCCTAGTGAGAATTTTAGTGTTACACGAGCTGCCTAAAAGTGAAGGATTTAGCTTCAATCCCTGAGGGGCTGTGGGCTTGCATTCCTATCAAGATGCTCAGCACGAGGTAGTTGCCCTGGGCCGATGCTGGCTTTGCAGGCATCCTGCTGTGCGCGCAGCTTTGAGCCAGGAGCACCAGACTTGCGTTCAACACCTTCAGACGTCTAGCTGACAGCATTTCCATCCCACAGCCTTTTTCTGTTTGTTTGAATATGTATTTTTCTCGCCGAAGATTTGTTTTCACATGAGTTACAGAGAAAGCACTATGGTGTCTTTTTCATAATACATGCTCTTAGATTTGTGGAACTCATGGAAACTTGGAACCTGACCCCAGACCTGCAGGAGTGCATAAGATAAGGCAAGTTGGTGGTGTTCAAGCTTATAAAGGTTTATCTCTTTTTTTCCACAGCTTTATCGAGATATAATTGACATGTAACGTTGTGTGAGCTGAAGGTGTACAATGTGATGATCTGATACACATATAATACTGTGAAATGATGACCGCAGTAAGGTTAGTTGGCACACCCACCACCTCACTTAATGACTGTGTGTGTGGTGGGAATATTTAAGGTTTACTGTCATAGCAACTTTCAAGTATATAATACAGTACTGTTACCTAGAGTCACCGTGCTGCACATTAGATCCCCAGAACTTATGTATCTTATAGCTGGAAGTTTGTATCCTTTGACCAATGTCTCCCCTATTTCCCCCCAATCCCCTTTCCCTTATCCCCAAGCCCCTGGAAACCACTGTCCTATGCTGTTTCTATGAGTTTGGCTTTGTTTAGATTCCACATACAAGTGG